CAGGGTTTGATCTGTGAGTTAGTTTTGCCCTGACTTTGATCAGCCCAGAGGTTGTTCCAGGGTTTGATCTGTAAGTTAGCCATGCCCTGACTTAGATCAGCCCAGAGGTTGTTTCAGGATTTAATCAGGAGTTAGACATTCAAGCATTGATTTTGCTTCTAATGGTGATAATTAATTGTTTTCTTTGTTGCTAGGCAACATGGCTGCATTTGACATGTCTAAACCAGAAGCAGTTGTCTCTCCAGGTAAAAAAAAATAGATACTTGTAAATTAGTATTGATTATATATGTATTAATAGTTACAGTAGCAGTGTTTTAATGACACGATTGCTGGCTGTTATCCTGCTCTAATGTTTCGTGATCCATTGGATTTAAGGCTCATTTCAAGGCTTTTTTTAATGTTAACTATTAAATATTTACTCACCGCTGAAAGTAATGGCCAATCTGTCGCTGGTGATAATCACAGGCCAAATTTGTTTTAGCTTAGCCATACATGTACCTTATTTCTGGCTTAACATCAGTGGTCAAAATGGCCAGCAAGGCAAAGATTTGACTGGACAAGACCCAGTTCTGGCCGGACATTGTCYGATATCTAGCCATTATTTTAAGCCCTGTTACTACATAAATAGTTTTGGGTTGTTGTTGTCGAACCAATCTTGCCCTACAATGTTTCTGTGTATTATTTTGGTTATCAGGTGGTGTAGGGTTTGATATCAATTGTGGTGTTCGATTGCTGAGAACAAACCTTGATGAAAAAGATGTCCAACCAGTTAAAGAAAGACTAGCTCAGGTAATATATAGTAAACTTGCTTCAAACCGACYTCTCTGAGACTTACAGAGTCACGAGTGAAGCAAGTGGACGGGGGAGGGGATGAGTGTCTAAGTCGCTAGAGGCCGACTTGTTCCTCTTGCAGGATTTTCATTCACRTTTTGCACTAAATGGCATTCGTATCTGTAGTGCATGCCAAATTTCCATACGCTAATAAAATGAGCATAATTCAGCAACCTGGTTTTTGATTCACTAAAATTGCAGGAAACGAGTTAGATAAGTCATTCGTCCAGTGCATGTGGTCCTGGTTTGGCTGCTTGTGCTTTACTTAAGCACATGTGCACTTATATGATATGGAGACGGATGACTTTGTGAAAGTCATGTAAAATGCATGTAGTAGTTGCTTGTATCTCTAGGCTCTTATTCTAATTCTTTGGAGTCCTCGTAAAAACAATCATTCATAATTTTGAAGCTGTCGCTGCTGTACTTGCTGTTTGCGCAGAGAAAAGATGAGAAATTTATTTTTGTTAGTCAATCGATATTATTATTATTTTATTGTTAATACAATCATATGCTAACTTAATCTTCCTTTTGTAGGCTTTATTTGATCATATTCCTGTGGGAGTTGGTTCTAAAGGAGTCATTCCAATGGGACCAAAGTAAGTAATGAATAAATAGTTCCAAAAACAAGCTATTTATTCCAAAATTGAATTTAGTATTATGCAAGAACAGTGCCCCAAACACCCTGTCAGCCATTTATTGGCTGATATTATTTGCTTATTTATTTATTTATTCATTCATTCATCCATCCCTCCCTACCTTCCTCCCTCCCTTCCTTCCTTCCTTCCTTCCTTCCTTCCTTCCTTAATTAATGTAAATAATTTTAAGACCTAATTTTCTTATATGGTTTACATGATTGACTGAAATAGTTTAAAATAATGAAATCTGTTAGAGACCTAGAGGAGGCRCTAGAAATGGGTATGGACTGGTCATTAAGAGAAGGCTACGCATGGGCAGAGGATAAAGAACACTGTGAGGAGTATGGGAGAATGTTACAAGCAGACACAAGTAAAGTCAGCACGAAGGCCAAGAAGAGAGGACTGCCACAGGTAGATTGCATTTTTATTTGTTTTTACTAGCCATGGAATTTAGAGTCGTATGCAGCTCATGATAAGTAAAATTGCAGTTATTGAAAACTTATCATAAATATGCACAAGCCAAGGAAAATGAAACCTGTTCTATTCCTTCCGATTCTAATGCACACTTGTGGCTGCAATATTTGACTTCATTTTATGGTTTTCACTTTGTCATAAATATGCACAAGCCAAGGAAAATGAAACCTGTTCTATTCCTTCCGATTCTAATGCACACTTGTGGCTGCAATATTTGACTTCATTTTATGGTTTTCACTTTGTCATAAATATGCACAAGCCAAGGAAAATGAAACCTGTTCTATTCCTTCCGATTCTAATGCACACTTGTGGCTGCAATATTTGACTTCATTTTATGGTTTTCACTTKGTCATATGCTGCTTGATGGACTCAGATTCTGACTTTGACCCTGATTCTATTGTAAAAATGTCTAGATAGGATAGTGCTATCCACGCTTCGTACAACCGGGCCCTGTTAACAGGGTTAGTGCTACTCCTTAAACTCCTTGAAAACTCCTTGAATTTAATTCACGTTTTCAGGGGCACTTGAAAAGCTCTTGGATTTTAACAAAACTCCTTGAATTTTTGCTTTGATCATTACTTGCATGGTTCTGAAATAGATCTAGTCAGAAAGATTGGAAAATCTGAAAGTCGGCCATGTGCAACCACCGTGTAAAACCTTGGCATAGTTAGCTGAACATACTCCTTGAAAATTCATTTTTGGGTCCTTGTATACTCCTTGGATAGTCCTTGAATTTTAAGTGGTTACCTCAGCATGAACTCTGTGTTAATAATATTTGGAATGAACTTTCACTACTTATCAATGCTGGGTTATTAAATATACAATTGCTACTTACTGCTTGCTTACCTTGACTCAATACAATGACTTGTATAACAAGCACTGTCTTAGTAATTAAAGTATTGATTATGGTTTTGCTGTTAATCAATCAATGTAGCTTGGCACTCTTGGCGCTGGAAATCATTATGCTGAAATACAAGTAGTAGACAAAATATTTGATGAATTTGCTGCGAAGAAAATGGGAATAGACCACACAGGACAGGTTGGTGATGACACTATTAGTTTCCTCTCCTTCTTACAACTCCTCATCTGTTCATTTAATTCCCTGCTAGCAGAGTCTCTTYTCTTTCTCTCCCTTCTTTTAGGCAGGGAGGAAGGAGACTCTGCTGATGGACGAACGAAACCAGTTTTAAAACCGGTTTTAACTGGGTACATGTAGTGGGCATAAGCAAATGTAACACACCGTGGCACCAAACGTTGTTTGACAAGAGCGGCTCATGAAGTCATGACAGCGTTGCTAAGTTACACCACACAGGCACGACAAGTATAACCTCCTACATCGGCAGAGTCTATTTTTCTCACTCCACCAAAACAAATGGAAAATATGCTCTGTTAGCAGGRAATTCATCTAATATCTAAAGTCTATAATTTAGCTTTGACTATTGCACCATAGCATGGGATAATCACAATAGAGCTAGGCTCAAAACTAATTGAAAGCCTAAACATCAAAATGGAAAGAGGGGAGAAAACTGAAAAGCCTGGAAGGAAATCCTCTCGGCACAGAAGAGAACCATCAATTAAGCTACTCTACTCACATACAACACCAGCCCCGGGAATAGCAGATACAGTCAACTCTCTTTACAGTGGACACCCTCAGGACCATCACTTGGTGTCTGTATATGACAAGCGTCCGCAATAACAAGAATTAATTACGGTCATTTCTTTGTCATTATTTTTGCCGGGGATTTTGCCCCTGTTCGTAATAGCGAGGTGTCCGTAATATCAGGGTGTCTGCAAGGCGAGAGTTGACTGTATTATTGATGCATGTAAATGAGATGCAAATGAGACAACAAGCATTGTATCAACCTGATAGCCTCACTTGTATGATTCTCAAAACTGAAGAATACCTCATTGTGTCGAATGTAAAAATATTACCAGTTATTAAACCTGAGTCACGTTGGTGTCACACATGCCCCTGTGCTTCATATTCCTGTTATTACCCTTCCAGTAAACCTTTCCTTCATTTTTCTCATACATCTTTCTCTATTTCTCTTAGGCCTGTTTCATTCCTACAGTACTTTTTGCATTGTTGCAGTTTTAATAACAGTATCTTTGGGTTAATTTTTTCTCCGGTTTTAGGTATGTTTAATGATTCATAGTGGGAGCAGAGGTCTGGGCCATCAGGTAGCCACAGGTAAATATCTCATCAAACCTACCTTATTTAATCAATGAAATTATTAATTATAAATATTAATTAAATATTTAAATCTGTAAAAGTGTCAAATCATTCCAGATCTAATTCAAGACACAAGACTCACAGACACTGTCACTACCTGTAAATTCAATGTTCTATACACATGACACTCAACTCACAAGGGTGGATCCGGGGGGGGGGGGCAAAGGGGGGCTAAAGCCCCCCTTCGGCAGAAAAAAAACAAAACAAAACTGAAGAATTAGTTGCTTTTTTGTTATTGTTTTCCATTGTGTTGACGGAAGAAACTCAATTAGCCCCCACTAAACTCAATTAGCCCCCACTAAACTCCATTAGCACCCACTAAACTCAATTATCACCCACTAAACTCAATTAGCACCCACTAAACTC